GGTGACGTGTCTTCAGCCAACCAATCTAATCTAAACCTGCAGTTTACCTGTGCTTTTTATAGGGAGCACCCTCTAGTGTCATTGGCTGCCACACCACAATTACCCTGCCAGCAGGTGCAATTCATCCTGCCACATTCAGTAATTCACACTGTCCAAGGTCCTGAAACATTCCAGTACTTTCAGAACTTGGACAGTTCCTTCAGTCCTTCACACTGTCCAAGGTGCTGAAACATTCCAGCTCTTTCACAAACTTGAACAGTTCCTTCAGCCCTTCACTTTGTCTAAAGTCCTTCAACATTCAAGCATTTTCAGGACCTTGGACAGATCCTTCAGCCCTTCATTCTTTCCGGAGTCCTGAAACAAATCAGCACGTTCAGGACCCTGGACCGTTCCTTCAGCCATCCACATTGCCCAAGGTCCTGAAACATCCCAACACATTCAGGACCTTGGACGGTTCCTTCAGCCGTTCAAACTGTCTAAATTCCTGCAAAATTCAAGCATTTTCAGTACCTTGGACAGTTCCTTAAGCCCTTCACAATGTCTAAGGTCCTAAAAAATTCTAGTATTTTCAGTACCTTGGACAGTTACTTCACCTTTCACACTTCCCAAGGTCCTAAAACATTCCAGTACTTTCAATACCTTGGATAGTTCCTTCTGTCCTTCACACTGTTTAAAGTCCTGCAATATTCAGATATTTTCAGGACCTTGGACAGTTCCTTCAGTTATTCACACAGTTCAAGGTCCTGAAACATTCCAGTTCTTTCAGTACATTGGACAGTTCTTTCAGTTCTTCACACTGTCCAAGGTCCTAAAACATTCCAGTACTTTCAGTCCCTTGGACAGTTCCTTCAGCTCTTCATACTCTCCAAGTTTCTAAAATATTCCAGTACTTTCAGGACCTTGGACAGTTCCTTCAAACATTCACACTGTCCAAGGTCCTAAAACATTCCGTTACTGTCAGAACCTTGGACAGTACCTTCAACCATTCACACTGTCCAAGGTCCTAAAACATTCCAGTACTTTCAATAACTTGGACAGTTCCTTCATCCCTCCACAATACCCAAGGTCCTAAAACATTCCAGTACTTACAGTTCCTTGGACAGTTCCTTCAGTTATTCACACTGTCCAAAGTCCTGAAACATTCCAGTTCTCTCAGGACCTTGGTCAGTTCCTACAGCCTTTCTCATTGACCAAGGTCCTGAATCATTCCGGCACATTCAGGACCTTTTTTTCAGTTCCTTCAGTTCTTCACAATGTCCAAGTATGGAAACATTCCAATTCATTCAGGACCTTGGACAGTTCCTTCAGTTATTCACACTGTCCAAGGTCCTAAAACTTTCCAGTATTTTCAGTACCTTGGACAGTTGCTTCAGCCCTTCACACTGTCCATGGTCCTAAAACATTCCAGTACTTTAAATACTATGGACAGTTCCTTAAGTCCTTCACACTGTCCAAGATCCTGACACATCCCTGCACTTTCAGGACCTTGGACAGTTCCTTCAGTCCTTCACTCTATCTAAAGTCCTGCAACATTCAAGCATTTTCAAGAACTTAGACAGCTCCTTCAGCCCTTCACACTGTCTGAGGGCCATTAACGTTCCAGCACTTTCAGGACCGTGGACAGTTCCTTCAGCGCTTCACTCTTTCCGGGGTCTTTGAACATTCCAGCACGTTCAGGACCCTGGACAGTTCTTTCAGCCCTTCACAATTTCCAAGTTCCTGAAATTTCAGGAAATTTCAGGACCTTGGAAAGTTCCATCAGCCCTTCACAATGACCATGGTCTTGAATCATTCCCGCACATTCGGGACCTTTTTCTGTTCCTTCCGTCTTTCACAATGTCCAAGTGCGGAAACATTCCAATTCATTCAGGACCTTGGACAGTTCCTTCAGTTCTTCACACTTTCCAAGTTTCTACAATATTCCAGTACTTTCAGGACCTTGGACAGTTCTTTCAGCCCTTCACACTATCAAAGTTTCTACAATATTCCAGTACTTTCAGGACCTTGGACAGTTCCTTCAGTCCTTCACATTGTCCAAAGTGCTGAAACATTCCAGTTCTATCAGGACCTTGGACAGTTCCTTCAGTCCTTCACACTGTCCAGGTCCTGAAACATTCCGGTTCTTTCAGGACCTTGGACACTTCCTTCAGCCCTTCACACCACCCAAGGTCATAAACATTCCACTACTTTCAGGACCTTGGACAGTTCCTTCAACCCTTTACACTGTTCAAGGTCCTGAAACATTCCAATTCTTTCAGGACCTTGGACAGTTCCTTCAACCCTTCAATCCTTCCAAGGTCCTAAAACATTCCACTTCTTTCAATACCTTGGACAGTTACTTCAACCCT